TCTCACTCATCCACTGTCTCCCACTCATCCACTGTCTCTCACTCATCCACTGTCTCTCACTCATCCACTGTCTCTCACTCATCCACTGTCTCCCACTCATCCACTGTCTCTCACTCATCCACTGTCTCCCACTCATCCACTGTCTCCACTCATCCACTGTCTCTCACTCATCCACTGTCTCCCACTCATCCACTGTCCCCACTCATCCACTGTCACTGATCCACTGTCTCTCACTCATCCACTGTCTCTCACTCATCCACTGTCTCCCACTCATCCACTGTCTCTCACTCATCCACTGTCTCTCACTCATCCACTGTCTCCACACTCATCCACTGTCTCCCACTCATCCACTGTCTCTCACTCATCCACTGTCTCTCACTCATCCACTGTCTCTCACTCATCCACTGTCTCCCACTCATCCACTGTCTCCCACTCATCCACTGTCTCTCACTCATCCACTGTCACTCATCCACTGTCTCTCACTCATCCACTGTCTCTCACTCATCCACTGTCTTTCACTCATCCACTGTCTCTCACTCATCCACTGTCTCCCACTCATCCACTGTCTCTCACTCATCCACTGTCTCTCACTCATCCACTGTCTCTCACTCATCCACTGTCTCTCACTCATCCACTGTCTCTCACTCATCCACTGTCTCTCACTCATCCACTGTCTCTCACTCATCCACTGTCTCTCACTCATCCACTGTCTCTCACTCATCCACTGTCTCTCACTCATCCACTGTATCTCACTCATCCACTGTCTCTCACTCATTCCACTGTCACTCATCCACTGTCTCTCACTCATCCACTGTCTCTCACTCATCCACTGTCTCTCACTCATCCACTGTCTCTCACTCATCAACTGTCTCTCACTCATCCACTGTCCCTCACTCATCCACTGTCTCTCACTCATCCACTGTCTCTCACTCATCCACTGTCTCTCACTCATCCACTGTCTCTCACTCATCCACTGTCCCTCACTCATCCACTGTCTCTCACTCATCAACTGTCTCTCACTCATCCACTGTCCCTCACTCATCCACTGTCTCTCACTCATCCACTGTCACTCATCCACTGTCCCTCATTCATCCACTGTCTCTCACTCATCCACTGTCTCCTACTCATCCACTGTCTCTCACTCATCCACTGTCTCTCACTCATCCACTGTCCCTCACTCATCCACTGTCTCTCACTCATCCACTGTCTCTCACTCATCCACTGTCTCTCACTCATCCACTGTCTCTCACTCATCCACTGTCACTCATCCACTGTCTCTCACTCATCCACTGTCTCTCACTCATCCACTGTCTCTCACTCATCCACTGTCACTCATCCACTGTCTGTCACTCATCCACTGTCTGTCACTCATCCACTGTCACTCATCCACTGTCACTCGTCCACTGTCACTCATCCACTGTCACTCATCCACTGTCACTCATCCACTGTCTCTCACTCATCCACTGTCTCTCACTCATCCACTGTCACTCATCCACTGTCTCCCACTGATTCACTGTCTCCCACTCATCCACTGTCTCTCACTCATCCACTGTCTCTCACTCATCCACTGTCCCTCACTCATCCACTGTCTCTCACTCATCCACTGTCTCTCACTCATCCCACTGTCTCCCACTCATCCACTGTCTCTCACTCATCCACTGTCTCTCACTCACCCACTGTCTCTCACTATCCACTGTCTCTCACTCATCCACTGTCTCCCACTCATCCACTGTCTCCCACTCATCCACTGTCTCCCACTCATCCACTGTCTCTCACTCATCCACTGTCTCCCACTCATCCACTGTCTCTCACTCATCCACTGTCTTCCCACCCCATCCACTGTCTCCCACTCATCCACTGTCTCTCACTCATCCACTCTCTCACTCATCCACTGTCTCCCACTCATCCACTGTCTCCCACCCATCCCCTGTCTCCCACTCATCCACTGTGTCTCACTCATCCACTGTCTCCCACTCATCCATTGTCTCTCACTCATCCACTGTCTCTCACTCATCCACTGTCTCCCACTCATCCATGTCTCTCACTCATCCACTGTCTCTCACTCATCCACTGTCTCCCACTCATCCATTGTCTCTCACTCATCCACTGTCTCTCACTCATCCACTGTCTCTCACTCATCCACTGTCTCTCACTCATCCACTGTCTCTCACTCATCCACTGTGTCTCACTCATCCACTGTCTCTCACTCATCCATTGTCTCTCACTCATCCACTGTGTCTCACTCATCCACTGTCTCTCATCATCCACTGTCTCTCACTCATCCACTGTCTCTCACTCATCCACTGTCTCTCACTCATCCACTGTCTCTCACTCATCCACTGTCATCATTCCACTGTCTCTCACTCATCCACTGTCTCTCACTCATCCACTGTCTCTCACTCATCCACTGTCTCTCACTCATCCACTGTCTCTCACTCATCCACTGTCTCCCCACTCATCCATTGTCTCTCACTCATCCACTGTCTCTCACTCATCCACTGTCTCCCACTCATCCGTTGTCTCTCACTCATCCACTGTCTCTCACTCATCCACTGTCTCTCACTCATCCACTGTCTCTCACTCATCCACTGTCTCTCACTCATCCACTGTGTCTCACTCATCCACTGTCTCTCACTCATCCATTGTCTCTCACTCATCCACTGTGTCTCACTCATCCACTGTCTCTCACTCATCCACTGTCTCTCACTCATCCACTGTCTCTCACTCATCCACTGTCTCTCACTCATCCACTGTTCACTCATCCACTGTCTCTCACTCATCCACTGTCTCTCACTCATCCACTGTCACTCATCCACTGTCTCTCACTCATCCACTGTCACTCATCCACTGTCTCTCACTCATCCACTGTCACTCATCCACTGTCTCTCACTCATCCACTGTCTCTCACTCATCCACTGTCTCTCACTCATCCACTGTCTCTCACTCATCCACTGTCTCTCACTCATCCACTGTCTCTCACTCATCCACTGTCTCTCACTCATCCACTGTCTCTCACTCATCCACTGTCTCTCACTCATCCACTGTGTCTCACTCATCCACTGTCTCTCATCTCCATTGTCTCTATCCACTGTCTCTCACTCATCCACTGTTCACTCATCCACTGTCTCTCACTCATCCACTGTCTCTCACTCATCCACTGTCTCTCACTCATCCACTGTCTCTCACTCTCCACTGTCAACTCATCCACTGTCTCTCACTCATCCACTGTCTCTCACTCATCCACTGTCTCTCACTCATCCACTGTCACTCATCCACTGTCTCTCAACTCATCCACTGTCTTTCACTCATCCACTGTCTCTCTCTCATCCACTGTCTCTCACTCATCCACTGTCTCTCACTCATCCACTGTCACTCATTCACTGTCTCTCACTCATCACTGTCTCTCACTCATCCACTGTCTCTCACTCATCCACTGTCACTCATCCACTGTCTCCCACTCATCCACTGTCTCTCACTCATCCACTGTCTCTCACTCATCCACTGTCTCTCACTCATCCACTGTCTCTCACTCATCCACTGTCTCTCATCTTCCACTGTCTCTCACTCATCCACTGTCACTCATCCACTGTCTCCCACTCATCCACTGTCTCTCACTCATCCACTGTCTCCCACTCATCCACTGTCTCTCACTCATCCACTGTCTCCCACTCATCCACTGTCTCCCACTCATCCACTGTCCTCTTGCAGTGCTGGTGAAAGTAACAACGTCTCTCTACTTTCTCTCAGCGAGAGATCAGGTGGTTGTAAATATTCTCTCTGACCAGAAGAGAGGAGAAACTTCTCTAATTTATTTTTGATGAATATCTCTAGTTTATTCTCTTGTTGTCAAGAGACAAGCACCCCCCCCCCTCGCGGACACTGTAAACACAGTTCACTATACAGTAAAACTGAATATTAATGTCTTGATTAAAAGAAGAAACTAAGATGAACACAGGAAAGATGGGTTGGTGGTCACAGTGACGCGGGAAGTGTAACAAGGTGACCTGTGAGGTGAGGTCACCGTGGCTGCTGACCTCAGCTGCTGTTTATTCTTTACAAGGCGTCGAGTCTGTAGACGTCTGTACTCAGCACCATTCAGAGGAGTTTCCAAAATGCAACCCATTAAAAACAGGACACTGAAGAAATCATGGCACGGACGGGGGGTCAGTCCCATGATCAGGGAGTCGTACAACTCGTCATGGGTTCAATTCTCACCCGTTCTGTGGTTTGTTGGCGATCGTCTCATTACGATTTCTCGTGCAAAAAATTAATAAAAACTTTGGGAAGGCTTGTCGACCGAGTACTGAAGATTTTAGGTGCGTAGATGTAATCACCAGACGCGGAATGAGCAAGGTAAATAAGAGAGGTGACAGCGTCCCTTGCTAGGGTACAACTTGCTGGTCCAAGATAGCAGTTCTTCTTCTCGTATCCTCAATAGTGAGAATACCGCTTGTTCTTGTTGTTTGTTCCAGGTGAACGTTCACTCGAGGTGCCGCCTTCCTGGAGACGTAACTCAAGGCGGGGTGCCAAGGTACCCGGAGTGCCTGGGGTAAAGAGATAGCGCTGGCACTCTCTGCATGCCAGCCTCCCTCCACCTCCTGCTGACGGAGGCACTGCTGGAACCTTCAGAGGTAGGTCGACTCGTCCAACAAGGGCGTCTTGAGTGTGTTACTTTCAACCTTCTGCTCCTCCTCCTCCTCCTCCTCCTCCTCAAGCTCCTCTTCCTCCTCCTCCTCCTCCTCCAGCTCTTCCTCAGAGAACTCCTCCTCCTCCTCCTCCTCCAGTACACACTCTTCCACCACACTTAAAGTTTCTCCCAGACTAGCACCACAGGTCAAGTCTTGGGGAGCCTTGTTGAACGAGCCAGCCATCGCCTGCTGTGCCTGCTGCAGAGGTTCTTCCTGCTGCTGCTGGTAACCCAGCAGAGTGCTGTTGGTGCTGCAGGCATGGCGACAAAGGACCCTGCTCAGAGGTGCGTCTCCAGTTAGAGCAGCACCTCTCGCCGACCCTAGGTGATTGAACTGTCCTCCAGACTCGGTGTCGTCACCGTCAGCGAGTCGCCGTTGACGTGCTGGCTGATGGAGGAAGGCGCAGGCGCGTGCAAACTCGAATGGTTGATGGACAACACTGACTGCGCTGTCTGCGACCGTGAGGTGAAGCGCATGCTTTGTCCGTAGCTCTTGTTCTGCGACCCCTGCAACACAAGATTACGTTAGCCACCCCTGCAACACAAGATTACTTTACCCACCCCTGCAACACAAGGTTACGTTAGCCACCCCTGCAACACAAGATTATGTTAGCCACCCCTGCAACACAAGATTATGTTAGCCACCCCTGCAACACAAGATTATGTTAGCCACCCCTGCAACACAAGATTACGTTAGCCACCCCTGCAACACAAGATTACTTTACCCACCCCTGCAACACAAGGTTACCTTAGCCACCCCTGCAACACAAGATTACGTTAGCCACCCCTGCAACACAAGATTACGTTAGCCACCCCTGCAACACAAGATTACGTTAGCCACCCCTGCAACACAAGATTACGTTAGCCACCCCTGCAACACAAGATTACGTTAGCCACCCCTGCAACACAATGAGAATCTTGAGGGGACCTTGACAGGTCCCCACAAAACTCACCTTGACAGGTCCGGAGCCTTGACGGACGTTCTTGTATGGTTGGAATATCACAATATAGACCTTAGGAGTGAAGAGACAGCCCAGGGAGACAGAGGCACTGATGTTGACACACATACACATGCTTGCCAGCTGGATCTGTTAAGGTGTACACATGTACGTCAGTAAGTGTACATGTTAAGTAGGTGACAAGACATGAATAAACACGCTGACAGAAGTTACATACACACACACACATATATATACACACACACACACATATATATATACACACACACACACACACACACACACACATAGAGTAGTTAGGAAGTGGAATAATGTGACAAGCGATGTAGTGGAGGCAAGAACTATACATAGTTTTAAGACGAGGTATGATAAAGCTCATGGAGCAGGAAGAGGGAGGACCTAGCAGCCAGGAGCCGAGTCTCGACCCATGTAACCACAGTTAGGTGAGTACACACACACACACACACACACTTAAGGAGACATCCCCAGACATAATAGCACTCACAGAAACAAAACTCACCAGAATAATAACAGATTCAATCTTTCCATCTGGATATCAAATATTCAGGAAAGACAGAGGGAGGAGAGGGGGAGGAGGAGTTGCACTGCTCATTAAAAACCAGTGGGGGTTTGAGAAAATGGAAGGAATGGACGGCACGGGCGAGAGGGACTACTTAGTAGGAACAATCCGGTCTGAGGGACATAAGGTGATAATTGCAGTAATGTACAACCCACCACAGAACTGCAGGAGGCCAAGAGAAGAATATGATGAGAGCAACAGAGCAATGGTCGACACACTAACCGAGGTGGCCAGGAGAGCACACATGGGGGGAGCAAAGTTACTAGTTATGGGTGATTTCAATCACAAGGAGATTGACTGGGAAAACCTGGAGCCCCATGGGGGTCCCGAAACATGGAGAGCCAAAATGATGGATGTGGTACTGGAAAACCTCATGCATCAACATGTTAGAGACACTACCAGAGAGAGAGGAGAGGACGAACCAGCAAGACTGGACCTTGTATTCACGTTGAGTAGTTCTGACATCGAGGATATCATGTATGAAAGGCCCCTGGGAGCTAGTGATCATGTGGTTCTGTGCTTCGACTACATAGTTGAGCTCCAAGTGGAGAGAGCAGCAGGAATAGGCTGGGAAAAAACCAAACTACAAAGGGGGAACTACTCAGGCTTGAGGAACTTCTTTCAAGACATTCAGTGGGAGAGGGAACTGACAGGAAAACCAGTACAAGAAATGATGGACTATGTAGCAACAAAATGCAAGGAGGCAGAGGAGAGGTTTGTTCCCAAGGGAAACAGAAATAATGGGAAGAACAGAACGAGTCCTTGGTTCACCCAAAGGTGTAGGGAGGCAAAAACTAGGTGTACTAGAGAATGGAAAAGGTACAGAAGACAGAGAACTCAGGAAAATAAAGAGATTAGCCGAAGAGCCAGAAACGAATATGCACAGATAAGAAGGGAGGCTCAGCGGCAATATGAAAATGACATAGCATCGAAAGTCAAGACTGACCCGAAGCTGTTGTACAGCCACATCAGGAGGAAAACAACAGTCAAGGACCAGGTAATCAGACTGAGGAAGGGTGATGGGGAATTCACAAGAAACGACCGGGAGGTATGTCAGGAGCTCAACACAAGATTTAAAGAGGTATTTACAGTGGAAACCAGTAGGACTCCAGTAAATCAGAACAGGGGGGCACACCAGCAAGTGCTGGATGACGTACATATAACCAAGGAGGAGGTGAAGAAGCTGCTATGCGAACTTGACACCTCAAAAGCGGTGGGACCAGACAACATCTCTCCATGGGTCCTTAAAGAGGGAGCAGAGATATTGTGTGAGCCATTAACAAAGATCTTCAACACATCATTTGAAACTGGGCAACTCCCCGAGGTATGGAAGATGGCAAATGCAGTCCCAATTTTTAAAAAGGGAGACAGACATTAGGCACTAAACTACAGACCTGTATCACTAACGTGTATAGTATGCAAGGTCATGGAGAAGATCATCAGGAGGAGAGTGGTGGGGTACCTGGAAAGAAACAAGTGTATAATTGACAACCAGCATGGTTTCAGGGAGGGAAAATCCTGTGTCACAAACCTACTAGAGTTTTATGACAAGGTGACAGAAGTAAGACAAGAGAGATAGGGGTGGATCGACTGCATTTTTTTGGACTGCAAGAAGGCCTTCGACACAGTTCCTCACAAGAGGTTACTGCAAAAGTTAGAGGATCAGGCACACATAAAAGGAAAGGCACTGCAATGGATCAGAGAATACCTGACAGGGAGGCAACAACGAGTCATGGTACGTGACGAGGTGGTCAGAGTGGGCGCCTGTGACAAGCGGGGTTCCACAGGGGTCAGTCCTAGGACTGTGCTGTTCTTGGTATATGTGAATGACATAACGGAGGGATAGACTCAGAAGTGTCCTTGTTTGCGGATGATGTGAAGTTAATGAGAAGAATCAAGTCGGATGAGGATCAGGCAGGACTACAAAGAGACCTGGACAGGCTACAAGCCTGGTCCAGCAACTGGCTCCTTGAGTTTAACCCTGCCAAATGCAAAGTCATGAAGATTGGGGAAGGGCAAAGAAGACCGCAGACACAATATAGTTTAGATGGCCAAAGTCTGCAAACCTCACTCAAGGAAAAAGATCTTGGGGTGAGTATAACACCGAGCATATCTCCTGAGGCGCACATCAATCAGATAACTGCTGCAGCATACGGGCGCCTGGCAAACCTACGGATAGCGTTCCGATACCTCAGCAAGGATTCGTTCAAGACTCTGTATACCATTTACGTCAGGCCCATACTGGAGTATGCGCACCAGTTTGGAATCCACCACTAGTCAAGCACGTCAAGAAATTAGAGAAAGTGCAAAGGTTTGCAACAAGACTAGTCCCAGAGCTACGGGGATTGTCCTACGAAGAAAGGTTGAGGGAAATCGGCCTGACGACACTGGAGGACAGGAGGGTCAGGGGAGACATGATAACGACATAAAATACTGCGCGGAATAGACGAGGTGGACAAAGACGGGATGTTCCAGAGATGGGACACAGACACAAGAGGTCACAATTGGAAGTTGAAGACTCAGATGAATCAAAGGGATGTTAGGAAGTATTTCTTCAGTCATAGAGTAGTCAGGCCATGGAATAGCCTAGAAAGTGAAGTAGTGGAGGCAGGAACCATACATAGTTTTAAGACGAGGTATGATAAAGCTCATGGGGCAGGGAGAGAGAGGACCTAGTAGCAATCAGTGAAGAATCGGGGCCAGGAGCTATGACTCGACCCCTGCAACCACAAATAGGTGAGTACAAGTATTTTTGAGGGCTACCTAAGTGTACTACAAGGGTCGCCAAGTGTGTCAGGGTAGTGAACAATTCCTTGAAGTGATTTACGATTTGCCTAAGCCACTTAAGTGTGGGGAGAGCCACAATTTTATAAGTAAACTAGAAAGTGATACTTAGAGGCGCATTCAGAGTTGGCAGGCCTAGTGTGTGTGCTCAGGCGACGGTGCCACGTGTCACCCAGGAAACATAATAAGGTGAAATGAATGTGTGACCGGTGAAAGAAATATAGTGAATAGGGTACATTATATATCGAGAAGCAACAGAGGTGCATCTATGCCAGGACGTCACATCGAGCTGGACAATCTACAGGCTGCTACAGGCTGCTACAGGCTGCTACAGGCTGCTACAGGCTGCTACAGGCTGCTACAGGCTGCTACAGGCTGCTACAGGCTGCTACAGGCTGTTCACAGGTATTCACCTATGCATGGTTGTTGGGTGTGGGGTGTTGGTTTCCGATTACCCAGCCAGCTGACTGTGAACTGTCCAACTCTCCTAGTACGATGAAGAATAGACTATCACGTACTCAGTAATGAATAGCAATTGGTAATTTATAGAACAAGGCGAGACAGGATCCTTTAAAACTAGGTGGAAGTAAAACCAGTATAGCAGGTAGGTGTGAGTCAGGTCACAAGAGGGCGGGGCCAGGTAAGATACCACTGAACTCCACATTCACTCTCACACACCACAATACACAATTCCACTTAGTAAACCCTCACATACCTACACACACACACACACACACACACACACACACAACACACACACACACACACACACACACAATAAATAATAATTTCCCTCACCTTATAATCATTATTAGTGCCGAAATAGATAGGTATAAAAGCCAGCCAGACGATACATGTACTGTACATGGTGAAGCCGATATACTTGGCCTCGTTGAAGTTCTCAGGTATCTTCCTGGTCTTGAAGGCGTACACAGTGCACAGTAGGATAAGTACCATGTTGTAGCCCAGGGACAGTATCAACGAGATGTTTGAGATACCACAGGTCAGTACCGCTACTAGACGGTACGGGTACACTTCTGTGGTGTTTGGGAACTCTACCAGTAGCCAGGTTACCACCCCCACCAACTGCACCCCCACCAACCCTGTGGGAGAAGGGGTTAGTAGTCTTGATGGTGGGAGAGTGGGAGGGGTTACTGCATTTACCTACTTGTGGTTACAGGGGTCGAATCCTGGCTCCTGTCACCTCACGTGTGTACATCACAGTGTACGTCACAATGTGTACATCACAGTGTGTACATCACAGTGTACATCACAATGTGTACACCACTGTGTGTACATCACAGTGTACATCACAGTGTGTACATCACAGTGTGTACATCCAAGTGTGTACATCGCAGTGTACACGCAGTGTACATCACAGTGTGTACATCCCAGTGTGTACATCCCAATGTGTACATCACAGTGTGTACATCACAGTGTACGTCGCAGTGTGTACATCACAGTGTGTACATTCCAGTGTGTACATCGCAGTGTACGGCACAGTGTGTAGATCACAGTGTACATCACAGTGTACATCAGGAGGAGAGGGAGAGACCGAGAGAGGGGGGAGGGGTAGACGGGGGAAGAGGGAATAAATCCTTGACTCCCGGCTTAGTATTTCTGTGGGGGGGAGGGGAGAGGGAGGGGGAACTGACTGGTGGTGGGGGAAAGGGGAGGGAGGGGGATCTGTCTGGTGGTGGGAGGAGGGGAGAGGGGAGGGAGGGGATGTGCCTGGTGGTGGGGGAGGGGGAGAGAGGAGGGAGGGGGATGTGCCCGGTGAGGGGGAGGGGGAAAGGGGAGGGAGGGGGAGAGAGGAGGGAGAGGGAGAGGGGAGGGAGGGGAAGAGGGTAGGGAGAGGGGACAGGGGAGGGATGGGGAGAGGGGAGGGAGGGAGAGAGGAGAGGGAGGGGGGAGAGAGGAGGGGAGGAGGGAGAGGGGAGGAAAAGGACAGGGGAGAGAGAGGGGGAGAGGGGGGAGGGGGAGAGGGGAGGGAGGAGGATGTGCCTGGTGGAAGGAGGGGGAGAGGGGAGGGAGGAGGATGTGCCGGGTAGGGGGAGAGGGAAGAAGGAGAGGGAGGGGGAGAGGGGAGGGAAAGGGATGTGCCTGGTGGGGAGGGGGAGGGGGAAGAGGGGAAAGGAGGAGGATGTGCCTGGTGGGGGAGGGCGGGAGAGGGGAGGGAGAAGGATGTGCCTGGTGGGGGAGGGGGAGAGGGGAGGGAGGGAGGATGTGCCTGGTGGGGGGAGGGAGAGAGGGGAGGGAGGAGGATGTGGCCTGGTGGGAGGAGGGGAGAGGGGGGAGGACGATGTGCCTGGTGGGTGGGAGGGGGAGAGGGGAGGGAGGAGGATGTGCCTGGGGGGGGGGAGGGGGAGAGGGGAGGGAGGAGGATGTGCCAGGTGGGAGGGAGGGAGAGAGGGGAGGGAGGGAGGATGTGCCTGGTTGGGGGGAGGGGAAGAGGGG